GGGGCTAGGGGACTGTCTAGGGCGGGGGGGAAAAATGGACACATATGTAATACCCTTTGTAATACTTTAAGCAATAAAAAAAAAAAGAAGAAGAAATGACTGGCAGTTAAAGCAAGCATGTTTACAGAATCAGTTGTATCACATATCACAAAGGATTGCAGAGTCAAAACGTGCACAGGCAAGAACTGGCTCTGCTTTTTCAAAGCTACCCACAATTAACTCAAATGCATTATATAAAGAAATACCTTACCAGAACCGGTTTGGCTCAGTGGATAGAGCGTCGGCCTGCGGACTCAAGGGTCCGGGGTTCCATTCCGGTCAAGGGCATGTACCTTGGTTGCGGGAACATCCCCAGTGGGGAGCATGTAGGAAGCAGCTGATCAATGTTTCTCTCTCTTTGATGTTTCTGGCTCTCTATCCCTCTCCCTTCCTCTCTGTAAAAAATCAATAAAATATATTTTTTAAAAAAAGAAGAAGAAATACCTTACCATGCTGTTTTGTTTCTTTAGAACACGTGAGATCAATGGGAGGACTCATCTCCTGCACTGCCTCTTCTGGCCCTCTCTTCTGCTGTAGCCTACTGCTTCCAGCCTCCACTTCGTTCTCTTCCGGATCCTCCTTTTCTTTCTCTTCTTCCTCTTCCTCTTCCTCCTCCTCCTCTTCCACTTCAGGCTCATCCTTCATTTTCATTAGAGCTGGAGGGAGTTCAGGACGCTTGGGGGGTAACTTCTGTAAGGGAAACAGAACCCTGAACAAGTTGTTCTACACAGTGAGAAAGAAACTAATCTCTCCAGAGAGTTAAGCTAAATGTGTAGCATGTCTAACCTCAATATGCTGATAAATCCTGCAGAAGTTTGCTGGAAGTGAGACTTTCACCTGAAATTTTATCCATCTATGAACCCTTAACGAGTATTTTTGTTAGTTTCTAGGTCCAAGAATATTAAGTATGAAACACTGGAAACAGCATGTAAAGAACTAAAGCATTTATTCCAGGTGAGTATCAGCTACAGGAATTCTGTCCTGTTACCCACTTATGATGTTAAAGGATCTTAATTCATTACAAAACCTTCTAGGGAGTAAATCAGACACACATTTCTGAGAAATAAATCAGTGATTCCAAAACAATCTTTTCATCTTAGATATAACACAATTTCAAGGAAATAAGACATGTAAGTAAAATAGGTCCCGGAAAGGCATTTCTTGAAGAATAAGGCCAACTATTCTTATATATATTTTGTTTTGTTTTGTTTTTTTGAGAGCGGGGGGGCGGGGGTGGGGACACTGATGTGAGAGAGAAACATCAATCAATTGCCTCCTGTATGTGTCCCGACCAGGGATCAAAACCACAAACTAGGTTTGTGTCCTGACCAGGAATTGAACCCCTACAACCTTTTGGTGTATGGGACAACACTCCAACCAACTGAGCCACCAGGTCAGGCCAAGAACTTTCAATAAAATTATTAGGAAAAGTAGATCACAGCTTAAGGAATAGAGAGAAGGTACCAAAGTATATGTTGGGTATATTATGTTTTAAACAAAGGATTTATTTCAGTAATCATCTAAGAAGAGCTTTTTAGTCAAGGTTTTTCTTCTAACTAAAGCCTAAGTATCCTCCTCCCCACCCCACCCCACCCCACCCCTGATACACACAAGACAGAAAAGCTTCCATCTAAGATTGGGAAACCACATACTCACTCAGAACATACGGATAGGACTTCAGACCTCTGCCACCAGAGGGCAGTTTTCCCTAACTGCTGGCTGAATTAGGTACCCCCAAGATTCATATGTTGAAGTCCCAATCCCCAATACCTCAGAATGTACCTATATTTGGAGATGAGATCTTTAAAGAGGTGACTAAGTAAAAATAAGGATGGAGCCCTAATCCAATATAAGAAGGGAGGTGCACATGCACAGAGGGATGACCATGTAAAGAGGCAGCAAGAAGACAGCCTTCTATAAGCCAAGGAAAGAGGTCTCAGAGGAAACCAACCAACCCTGCTGGCACCTTGATCTTAGACTCCTAGCCCCCGGAATTGTGATAAAATAAATTGTGTTGTTTAAGCCACCCAGGCTGCGGTATTTTGTTATGGCAGCCCTAACACACTAAAACACAAGGTATAGCTCTTTGGGTTGATGAAAACCTTTAAAAGCTAAAACTACAAATACGATGGATGTACCTAAAACAAAAATATACATGAGTGAACTATTAGAGAATAGTAGAAAGATCACAAACTCAACAGACAGAAGACCTGAATCTGACTGCCAGTCCAATTACTTACTAATGATGTAATCTTATATGTAACCTCTCTGACCCGGTTTCCTCCCGGTGAGAGGTAATAATTCCCACACATCACAAGGTTTTGGAAGGATTAAATAAAGGAAAAACCACATGACAGAGCCAGGTGCATAGACTATGCTACTAACAAGTGTTAGCTGAGCCTGGAGAGAAGCATTTAATGCAGGAGACCCTTTCTTAAATGTAATAGTCATCACATATTAGCCCATTGGTATTCTAATTTATAAATCAGTTACATGCAAACTGATTGGCATAAAAGAATTCATTCTTTTTGTTTTTCTCTTTTTAAATTCCTTTTTTATTCTTTTTTTCTTTTTGTGGTTTTTTTTCTTTCTTTCTTTTGTTTTTTTTTTTCATTAATTCTTGATAACCCTAAACTGAAGAGAAAAAATCCAAGAGCCAAGACCTGGGAAAGATGTGATCATACCAAGTTCACAGCCCTTTTCCACATTACTATGAAAAAAAAATGACTCATCCAATGAAATGAGTCATTTGAGCTTTGAAAAGAGAAAAATTAGCTCAGATAACTCAAAAGCTAGAAGTTTAACACCTTGACCCACAACTTACCCCTACTGTCCCAGTTTTTAATTTGAATTTGCTTCCTCCTTTCATGGCACCAAAGAGAGGCAATGTAAGCTTTTTAGCTTTGTTTTCAGCATCCATAGTGTGACTTTCAGTCCTAGAAAGAAAGAATAATTATACACATCTATTCCAGTGAGGCCAAGAATTTATCTAAAAACACAATGGCACTGACAAAGAAACATTTAGCAAATCAAAAATTTCCGCATATGAAAGAGGACTTCAGGCCAGCAGAGTCTGAATGGACAAGGACACGACAGATAGTCAAATACAGAGCTATTAAGGACAAGAAGAGGCTCCGGCTCCTACCTTAGTCTAGTAATTTACACCATGCTACATGGTTTCATATTCATAAAGTGATGCTTACAGTACAAAGGTCACTGGCAATGTGTAAGATAATCCCACCCCCACTAAGTGGCAGGAGATGGATCCATGGTGTAAAGCCCTATTTTCACCAACATCTGAACAGGACTCAAAGTACCTTACTTACCTGGAGTCCACACTTAGAACCACACAACTCTGAGCACAGTTGATTAAAAAAAAAAAAAAAGTGTGTGTGTGTGTGTGCGTGTGTGTGTGGTGGGAGGCAGGATATCCTATGTAGTGAGTAATGACAAAAACATAGTAAGAGACCCTACAATGATGAGTTTGTCAATGTTCTCATTGGCTTGACGACGTCATAAAAGCTAAGCCCACTAGGGTAAAGTTGAGGAAGGGCAAAATGAAGATATTGTAGAAAGTAGAAGAAAAAAATAGTCTCTCCCCACCCCGCGCCCCCGGCCCATACCACCCCCACCAAAGAATAGCAGCCTGGCCAGCATGGCTCAGTGGTTAAGCGTGGACCTATGAACCAGGTCATAGTTTGATTCCTGGTTGGGGCACATGCCAGGGCAGTGGGCTCAATCCCCAATGTGGGGCATGCAGGAAGCAGCCAATCAATGATTCTCTCTCATCATTGATGTTTCTCTCTCTCTCTCCCTCCCTCTCCTTTCCTCTCTAAAATCAGCAAGAATATATATTTTTTTAAAAAGAGGTGCCTCTCAATATGTAAATATTCATCTATGCAATGCACCCAGCATCAAGTGCACGTTTTGTACTCAGTGGTGAGTACGAAAAGAGAGAGATACAGGAATAAACGCTGGCAATCTAAAGCAGCACTGTTCAATACAGAATTTTCTGCATTGATGGGAATGTTCTATTTCTGTGCCGTCCAATACAGTAGCCACTAGTCACATGTGCCTCTTGAGCACATGAAATTGCCTAAGGTGACTGAGAAACTGAAATTTGAATCTTACGTAATTTAAATATCATATGTGATTACTGGGTGCTGACCGGACAACACTGACCTAAAGGGGAAACCCTTTCTGTAGTTAACTACCTTTGTAAGCGGATGAACCCATCAGGCAGCACGACTTTTGGAGATGCCTACCTGGTTTCTGTTTACTACGAGTTGCTTATTTCTAAAACAACCTACTCAACATTTTCAATATTTGTTGAGACCACATAGAATAAATCTTTTAAAAATATTGTCAAGTTGTAAGACTGGGATGGAGACTTGACTTGGGGTGGTGTACAGATTATGCGTTGTAAAAGTGTGCACCTGAAAACAGTGTCACCCCAATCAGTTCTGTAAAAGGAAAGGAAGAAAAAAAAGATTGGATCTCGCTCTCTCTCTCTCTCTCTCTCACACACACACACACACACACACACACACATACACACACACACAAACACACACACACACTAGCCAACTTTGGGAAAAATTAATCTCAAAATCTTATTTACAAATTACTCAAAAATCTTCTGGATGTCTGCAAATGGATTTGGGTTAATCTCTTCTAATAATCTCCCCAAAATCAGTTCACAATAGAATCAACTTCAAGGGATTATGCTTTCTCGCCTTTTAAAGGAAGAAATTACCCATTTTTAAAAAGTATTATTATTAAACTGTTGTCAACTGGTTCTTAGAAATAAGAGACACAGGCATTAGCCCTGACCGGTTTGGCTCAGTGAATAGAGCGTCAGCCTGTGGACTGAGGGGTCCTAGGTTCGATTCTGGTCAAGGGCATGTACCTTGGTGTGGGCACATCCCCAATAGGGGGTGTGCAGGAGGCAGCTGATTGATATTTCTCTCTCATCGATGTTTCTAATTCTCTATCCCTCTCCCTTCCTCTCTGTAAAAAATCAATAAAATATATTTTTTTAAAAAGAGAGATACGGGCATTAAAACGACTATCTGTGTGAGCACACTATGCAATAAACAAATCATGTGTAATAGAATTGTAAACTTGAAACTTATGTAATGTTATTAACTAATATCACCCCAATAAATTTAATTTAGAAAAAAAGAATTTAAATAATCTGTATTCACCTGTGGTTTTAAAATCATAGATGGTATTACATTATAGTATTTGTATTTCTCTTAGGAGTGAGGTTGAGCATCTTTTTATGTAATTAAGAGCTATTTGTATTTCTTTTTCAGTGGCTGTCAGTTGACAACCTTTGCCCATTTTTCCCTTGGGTGGATGGTTGTCTCTTTATCATTCATTAGTCTTTACACATTAGGGAAATGGGCCTTTTGCACATGTTGCTCTTTAAAAAGTTTACTCTGCACTAAAAGATGAAGTATGAAGTATAAAATTCAGAGCCTTCCAATGAAACAGGTATTAATAGTTTCCTCTAAAAATCTGTAGGTGTCTATAGATCGCAAATTAAATGAGTTTTTAGTTACTCTATGAAATGACTGCCTTCTGTGCTTTGAAATGTTTCTTATATTCTATGTCTATTCAAAAATAATTATCTAAAAAGATAAAAATATAATTCAAAATGTTATCTATGCAAACATACTTATTTAAAACTAGAGGCCTGGTGCATGAAATTCGTGCACTGGGGAGGGGGAGGAGGATCCCTCAGCCCAGCCTGCGGACTCTCGCAGTCCAGGACCCCTCGGTGGATGTCCGCCTGCTGGCTTAGGCCTGAACCCTGGCAGGCAGACATCCCTTTCGCAGTCTAGGGCTCTCGCAGTCTGGGACCCCTCACTCCTTACTGCTCACCTTCAGCGGAGGCAGGAGAAGCTCCTGCCAAAGCCACTGCGCTCCCCAGCTGTGAGCCCGGGTTCTGGCTGAGTGGTGCTCCCCCTGTGGGATCACACTGACCACCAGGGGACAGCACCTGCATTGAGTGTCTGCCCCCTGGTGGTCAGTGTGCATCATAGCGACCGATCGTTCCGCTGTTTGGTCTATTTGTATATTATGCTTTTATTATATAAGATAGGATCTCTACATAAGAATGTTGTGTTTAGCCCCGTAATGGTTGCTTAGGCTTTTATTATATAGATTCCAAGTATGTATCACTGTGAGCACTTTGTAAATTATATGAATGTCTAATGACTATGTTGTACACCTGAAACTAATACAATATTGCATATCAACTGTAATTGAAAAATAATTTTAGAAATTTTAAACACAAATAAATGAATAATGATTACAAAGAAAAAATTTTTTTAAATAAAACTCCAAGTATAACTAAGACTTACTTTTTTAGTTCTGGAATCTCTGCTGGCTTTACAATTTTTATCAACCCTTTAAGTCTCTGTTGTTCTTTCCTCAGTTCAAAAGTTCTCAGGTGAAGTTTCTTCCGGGACACACCATCTAATGCACTCCCTGATTTCATTTCCGACATAAATGCATCTAAAGAGTCCTGAGATGCTGACTCAGATAGAGCTGTCAGGAAAGGGATAATGCATGTTAGAAAGATTGTCACAAATTTTTAAAATGCAGCCAAAGTCACTAACATAGAGTTGGACAAATAACATTATTGATATTAGGAATAAGGAAACAGGTTATAACTGGGAGGCTATGGAATATCACAGCCTCATTCCCTTCATCTACTAAATAGAGAATTTACATTAAATAATGTATAATGTCCTTCCTAGCTCCTTAGAAAGGCTCCATATTCTGTACCTCTCATTAACCAATGTAGCCCAGAGCCTAGTATAGTGCACTACATATGGTCAATACTCAGTAAGTATTTGAGTCATTGCCTTACCTTTGCTTGAGGCTTTCAGTCTCTCAGAAATGTCAGAGAGTTCCCTTTCAGCATCATTCAACTTTGCAACCTGTGACGCCCAAAGTAACAGGGTTAGCAAATGTTTTTCTTCTTTCAAAATGTGGTAGCTTCCTCCTCTTATTTTCACTATTGTTATAAGTTTTGAGAAGATTAATTCGAAGTCTGGTTAAATCTGTTCCTTACAGAGTTAACATTTTTCATTTGTTTATTTAATTCTAATTGAATTAGTTCCTGAATTAAAGAACTCAGAATTAAACAGAATAAATGTATAGAACATAGACTTTATTTTAATCAAAAGAAAAAGCTCAAGCTATTTGTTTTCAATAATAAATCAGAAGGATAGATGCTGGTCATGTTTTAAACTCTGAATACCACTTAATATAGTGAAAACACCTGCTACCTTATGATAATTTCATGAAGGATACACTGCTTAAAACTATTAAACATCGACAACAACAAATAAAAGACTATTATCAAACAATACTCCTCAAAATTCTTTCATGATTTTTGACTGCCAGAAAGCTAAAGTCAGTTTCACCTCAGAATGTCCCAATTTGGAAGTTTTTCCTTTTTTTTGTTTTTTGTTTTGTGTGTGTGTGGGGGGGGGGATAGAGGTGGAGTGTAACATCATATCCAAAGAATGTTCATTAACAGACCAATATTCACCTAGAGGTGGATAGAGACTCTAGCAGCAAGCCAAACTTTTTCCCAACTTGCATAAGACTAGTTGTTTGTTGCCATCAAATTTTCAGATCACAAATGTTATACTTCAATACCAGATTTCAATGCTACTGCTTTTGTAATTATAAAAAAAATAAATACATTATTTTATTTAAAATATTAAACTACCACAGCTACTTCTATAAGTAAAACTTGCCAAGGATTCAAAGGTCTCTGGCTTCTCATCTATCTTCCCAGCCTTCTTCATTCGGTTCAGCCGTTTCTTCTCAACCAGGCCAGTCCGATCAAGAAATGTGTCATCATCACTGTCATAAAAGTCTTCATCTTCCCAGTTCTTTGCTTTCCTTTTCCGAGATACTTAAGGTAAATAAAATATATGGTAATAAAATAAGTTTTGAAAAAGAAAGAAGGCAAGTAGGTAAGCAGCTTAAAATATCACCACCTGCCCTAACTGGTTTGGTTCAGTGGATAGAGTGTCAGCCTGTGGACTGAAGGGTCCCAGGTTCGATTCGGGTCAAGGGGACATGCCCAGGTTGCAGGCTCGATCCCCAGTGGGGGCCGTGCAAGAGGCAGCCAATCAATGATTCTCTCTCATCATTGATGTTTCTGTTTCTCTCTCTCTCTCTCTCTCTCTCTCTCTCTCTCTCTCACCCTCCCTTTCTCCATGAAATCAATAAAAATATATATATTTTTAAAGTACTTAATAAAAAAAATCACCATCAATTATTCAACAAGGATTCAACAAGAAGGCAAACTATATATGAAAACAAAGGACTACACCTGGGAGACACTATGCTAAGTGAAATAAAACCAGACACAAGACACATACTACGTGATTCCACTTATAGCAGGTACCTATAATAGTCAAATTCATAGAAACAGGAAGTAGAACAGTGGTTACCAGAGGTCAAGAGGGAAGTTAGTGTTTAATGGATACAAAGATTCAATATGGGATGATGACAAAGTTCTAGAGATGAACAGTAGTGATGGATGTACAACAATGTGAATATATTTAATGCCACTGAACTTTTCACTTAAAAATGCTTAAAATGGTCAATTTTATGTTATGTATATCTTACCACAATAAAAAATTAAAACAAAGGGCTAATTTATTTAATAAGCAAAAGGCTCTTAAAAATCAGTGAGTAAAAAAGGGAAGTGATAAATGAGGAAAAGGCCAATAATCCAAAAGAATATTTGAAAAAGAATAAAAGCAGTTCATGTTAAAAAGAAATATAAATGATCAACAAACACTTAAAAAGATGTTAAACTTTTAAAAATTAATTTAATACAAATTAAATCAATGAAATACCCCTTCTCACCTATTAGAGTAGAAAAAAACATTAAAAAGTAAATAACAATCTAATGAACAAAATAAACTGATGAACAAAATAGATACAGAGACATAGAAGCATGGAACAGACTGACTAATTTCAGAGGGAAGATGGGGGTGGGGTTGGCGAGGGGGAGATTAACCAAGGGATTTATATGCATACTAGAGGCCTGATGCATAAAATTCATGCAAGAGTAGGCCTTCCTTCCCCTGGCTGCCAGCACCAGCTTCCCTCTGGCACCTGGGACCTGGGCTTCCCTCCGGCTGCCAGCAGGCACCTGAGACCTGGGCTTCCCTTGCAGCCCCAGCTTCGTCCAGAAGGTTGTCTGGAAGGACGTCCGATCTAACTAGAATATTATGCTTCTATTATTATAGACTAGAGGCCCAGTGCACGAATTTGTGCATGGGTGGGGTCCGCTGGCCCACCCCAATGGGGGCCCATTGGGCCGGGCCAGTGGGGGAGAGGGGCCACGGGTGGTTGGCCACCCGGCCCCACCCCAGATTGGGGTGTTGGGGGTTGATTGGGAGATGGGCAGGCGAGGGGGCGTAGGGGGCCAATTGGGGCCCATATCAGGCTGCTGGGCTGCCGCAGTGCGCGTCATAACCACCAGTGGTTCAGGTCGTTCTGGTCGTTCCAGCGTTCTGGTCTCTGGGCTTTTATAGAGAGAGATATGCATAGCCAGGGACACAGACAATAGTGTGGTGAGGCCTGGGAGAGGAGGGTAGAGGGTGGAAGGGGATCAATGGGGAAAAAAACAAAGGGGAAATCTGTAATACTTTCAACAATAAAGATACATTTTTAAGAAAAGAACCCCTCCCCCCCAAAATTTTAAGGTGTTGTAAAATTGTTTTATGGGGTGCAAAATGTTCATCATTACAGTAAATTAAAGGATTAAAGAAAAAGTATAATTCTATTACACAGAAAAAGTTTGAAGAAAGTTTTGTCTGTAATACAGCAGGCCTGTATATAAAGTTATTTTGTTTTCATGTTGATGAAAAAAAGGTTAATAACAAAACAAACAACAAAAAAGGTTAATAAGCAATTTGGCAAGAGTATGAGGAGATGGACTCTCAAACAGTATGCTGGGAATGTATACTGATATAAACTTTTTCATGTTCAATCTTACATCTGTCAACATTAAAAACATATTGATCCAGCCCTAGCCGGTTTGGCTCAGTAGATAGAGCGTTGGCCTTCGGACTGAAAGGTCCCGGGTTTGATTCCAGTCAAGGGCACATGGCTCATGTTGCAGGCTTAATCCCCAGTAGGGGGCATGCAGAGGGAGGCAGCCACTCAATGATTCTCTCTTATCTTTGATGTTTCTCTCTCTCCCTTCCTCTCTCACATCAATAAACTCTCCCTCTCTGAAATCAATAAATATATTGATCCAACAATTCCACTTCTAGGAATTTATACTATGAAATCAAGCATCATTATTTCTAACTGAAAATGGAAAGCCCATCAACAGGGGACTATGGTAACTATTAGTTTTTTGTCTACTCTATACCATCTTACTCCCCTTGTTATGTTAAAATTTAGAAGTACCCCCTTTCCTGTAGAAAACTCTTTGACCAAACTACTCACTAAGAGTAAAGCTAGAATAATTATATTTTCAGAATGAAGGGTTTAATAGTTTACTTGCCACATATCTTTTCTTTTTTCAGGAATCCACTAGGAGATGTCCACCAAAACAAGAGAGCAAACCAAGAAAAATGAAAAGATGTGAAATCCATTGAAGACTATCATCATCCATGCCCTCGACTGCTGTACCTTTTTAACCTGCCGAAACCACGGAAGGATGTGTCCCACTAAAACGAAGGAGTAAGCCAAAAAATCTGAGCATATGAGAATCAAGAAACAGAAATTCCAACCCCAGAGAGAGAGGAAGGGAGAGATAGAGACAGAGAGAAACATCGGTCAGTTGCCTCTCCTATGCATCCCAACTGGGGATCAAACCCGCAAGCTTTTTGGTGCCCAGGATGATGCTCCAACCAACTGAGCCACTTGGCCAGGTGCCAGTTTTTAAAATGAGATAAGCAATGTAATGATGTGGATAATTTCCACGATACATTCTTATGTTAAAAAAAATAAAACACAAAAGAATATAAATAATTTAACTGCATTTGTGTTCAAGTGTTTGTTTTTTGTTAAAGGATCCAGTTCAAAACACACATCTGTATGCAGAGAACATGTCTGAAAGAACATAAACAATGGCTACCTTAAGGTTTGAGAGAGAGAATTTTTTCTTCTCACTTCATTGAAATCTGTAATTTACATTTTCCCCCTAAAAAAAGGTTTATCTTTTATGTTAAAATTCCCTTCCCTCTTTCGTTTTCTTTCTTTCCTTTTTTTTTAACCATTTGCACACCATAAGCATCTATAGAGGCAAGCAGCAGACTTTTTAAAATTAAATTCAAAATATCGTGGCTGTTAACTGGTTAAGAAAAAAGTGTTCCTCTCACCTGCCTCCTGCCGCAGCAATCCCAAAGTATCAAGGATTCGACAAGCTTCCAGCGAGCACTGGATCATTGCTTCTTTTTTCTTTCCTAAGTGAATGGCCTCAGCCACCAGCTGTTTTCCAGTTGAATCATCCACGGGTAATCTGCATTGGTTTAGAGGAAATTATAGCACAGCACTAAGCTCCAATCCTCACACAAAATAATTAATATTTTATGGTAATAGTCATGTTTTTTAAGATGGCTTTTCAAACTCTCGGTTCATTTTGTTCTATCTTGCCAAGGTTAGATTTCGAATCTTTTCTTTCCAGCTCTTACCCATTCCACCCCACCCCTCAATAATATAAGTGTTACTAAACTATCAAGACCCCAAATCAGGAGTAGCCTAAAATTAAAACTAAAGTTACTCTTTGAATTGTTATCTATAACCATAAATTACACCTGAAATTGTCCACTTTCCAGAAATAGACATTAATGAGAAGAGAACATACCTCACCCTGCAGAGCCAGGTGCTATGTCCCTGCTCATCAAATTCATATTCTAATTCTTCTCCTTTGGGAGAAAGGAAGACAAGACAATTTTAACAGGATCTGAAAATTACTAGTTGATACAAAGGGAAAAGAGAACAAAAGTTAAATAAGAATATCAAGTTCCCCTACCACACTGAAAACTAAATTTCAAAAGCATTTCAGTCCTCATTCCTAGGGACTATTGTCTGATAATAAAGTTAGGATGAGCTTAAAGCACAAAAGAAGCAAACTCAAATCAAAACAATCAACTCTTACCCTGACTGGTTTGCTCAATGGATAGAGCATCGGCCTGCGGACTAAAGAGTCCCAGGTTCAATTCCAGTCAAGGGCATGTACCTTGGTTGTGGGCACATCCCCAATAGGAGGTGTGCAGGAGGCAGCTGATCAATGTTTCTAACTCTCTATCCCTCTCCCTTCCTCTCTGTAAAAAAATCAATAAAATATATTTTTTAAAAAAAACAATCAACTCTCCATACATAGCTTTGTCCACTACATAATAGCTTTCACTTTTTTGTATAAGTTGGAGACTTAAGTTGTTAAATTGTCACCATTGCCTGGTTTCTAGAAGTATAAATTAGAAGTATAAATAGTAAGCACAGAATGTAACCAATTCATATCCTATCTAAAAAAAGAGTAATATGTAAATTAACTACCACTCCGCAACAAAGATGGTGGTGCCCATAGTGGCCAGGGCGGGACGCTGACTGCATCGCCCCAGCCATGCGGAGGGAGGGGAGGGGAGGGTCCTTGGGCCGGAGGCCAGGGCGAGGGACGTTAGTGTCACTGCAGGCCAGGCTAAGGGACCCGCCCCCCCGCCCCCCCTCCAGTGCACAAATTTTGCACTCACACACACACATATACATCTATGCATACATACACTTAGATATTCTTCAACAAATCTCTAATGCAACAATCCTCTGTGGAATTATTTTTTAAATCCTATAAAATCAAAATCCATGCCAAGAATTACAAAAGATCAGGTGAATTACAAAGAAAAAAATTACAAGCTGGCTCAATCTCCTGCCATCAAAATGTAGGATCTTTTGAGAAGAATGAGGCAAGTCAGAAAAAAAGAACTTCCATTTTTTCAAGCTGAGAAAGACTAATAAGAACTCTACTATTTTCAAAATAAATGTGACACAACTGACCACAAGGGCAAGTACTGAACAAAGAAGACAGCAGATAAAATATGGCATTCTAAATACCTAAAGATCTAGAAAACGACACTGCTATGGACACATTCTACCAGGAGGGTCAGAATCTGTTTACATACCTTCTCGGTCAAAAAAACCTTGGAGAGCCTTTTTTGGATCCTTTATATAAAAGGCCTCCCTTTACTGCTGAAACTCTAAAACAATGGGATTCTCTTCAGCCTCATCTTCTACAGCATCTTCTCCTACAGAACATGGGAGAGAAAGAAAAGACAATCAGATATAAAAAGAGACCATCTGAATGACACCCACTTTCCTTTCTTCATAAAGATACAGTTATCGGTGATGAAAAGAGGAGGTGGGGGCAAACAACCAAAAAAACCACCGGTGTTGACATCTTCAGATTTTCTAAATTGTGTGACAAGTTACAACTTGTTTTTGTGGCCCTTCCCCTCCCCCACCCCATCAGTATGTTTTAAAAGCAAAATTACCTACCACATTTTCTATGAAAAAAAAAAAATCTAAGCTCCAGGTCTCATACTTTGCCTCCAATATAATTTCCTAATACTTCTCATATCTGTCAAATAGTGTGGTCTATTCATTATTCCCTTAAAATCATCAAACCCTGCCCTGAACACCACTCTCAATGCTCAGCTTCCTAAGGGATACTTTTTCTTTCCTTCAAGTCATTACTCAAAACTCTTCTGCTTATAAACTTTCCCAAAGATCTAAGTCAGTGCTGCCCAACAGAAACATAATAAAAGCCATGTGTAAATCTAACATTTGTAGTAGCCATATTACAAAAGGGACATAACCCAGCTGGCATGGCTCAGTGGCTGAGCATAGACATAGGAAACAGGAGGTCTCAGGTTCGACTCCCGGTCAGGGCACATCCGTGCAGGAGGCAGCCAATTGATGATTCTGTCTCATCATTGATGTTTCTATCTCTCTCCCTCTCCCTTCCTCTCTGAAATCAATAAAAGTATATTTTTAAAAAAGAGAGAAACAGCCGAAACCGGTTTGGCTCAGTGGATAGAGCGTCGGTCTGCGGACTGAAAGGTCCCAGGTTCGATTCCGGTCAAGGGTATGTACCTGGGTTGCGGGCACATCCCCAGTAGGATGTGTGCAGGAGGCAGCTGATCGATGTTTCTCTCTCATCGATGTTTCTAACTCTCTATCTCTCTCCCTTCCTCTCTGTAAAAAATCAATAAAATATATTTTAAAAAAAAGAGAAACAGGTGAAATTACTATCATGTTATCAATGTAAAAATATTCTCAATGAGATAGTTTACATTCTTTTTTCATACTAAGTCTTTGATATCCAGTGCGTTTTTTGCATTTACAGCACATGATGATTTGGACTAGCCACACTGAGTGTCCAGTAACCACATGTGGCTAGTGGCTACCATGGACAGTGCAGGGCTAAGTCCCCAGTGATTGCTCTCTTCTCTGAACCCTTACTCCAGCATGGTTTCTAGATTTTATTTGGCATTTGCCACAGTAGTTTCATATTTATCCTGTCCTCCCAACAGCATATTAAGGCCTTTTCTATCTTTTCATATTCCTAGCTCCTCTGGCAAAGGGTCCAGCTCTCTCTGATAAGATATTTCACACTTCTGGATATTTACACAACGCACAAAATATTCAAGGTCCTATCCTATATTGAATAATTATCCATTTATGTGTTTAAATGTAGTTCCTGCCCTTTCAGTGATAATCAAAGTCAATAATGAAAAAATATTTTTAAATGGTAAAAACACCAAACTAATTGTATGCTAAGGAAGAATTTCCAACAAGGGAGTGAACTGGTAAAACAAATGAAAAGAAACCCATAGTGTCCATAATTCAATTGTTTTACTGCAGAAAAGTAAACGCATCTCGCTGGGTTTTGGTAGCCTCGTGTGAAAATTGTATTTGTCCCATCTATCATGAAAACTTGCTTGATAAAAAAGGTCTGAGTGTAGTAATGACTTTTAAGTATTAACCTCCGTAGCGAGTTTGATGGCTTACCCATTCCCCAGGTGCAGCCCATTTCGTCATCTTGACCAGCAGTATTTCTCTTGCTTTCAATGGCATCCATCTCCTCGTCTTCATCTGAGTCTTCCCCTAGCATCTTCTTCTCCAACATCATTTGCTGCTTCTTGCGCAATTCCTTCAACTGCGTGACTGTCAACTCGGACTCGGCCTCTCGGTCCTCCTCTGGTCCCTGGTGAACCAAGCGAAGGGATGCGTTTTATTTAGAGTCCAGGGTCGCTGACGCCCCCTCCAGGGAGACGGCCGTGCGCTCTGCGGTCTGGAGACGAGGGGCCAGCTCCCTCCACCTTTGCAAACGCCGAGTGGGGGAATCGCCTTCCTGGGCGAAGACTACAGGAGCTCGGGGACCCAGCCCGCTGCGCTCCGGGGCTTTCCATCCTGGGTTTCCTTCTTACCTGCAGGAGGAAGAGCCGGGTGCTGCAGCCGAAGCGAAGGACGTGCCCGACGTGGACCCGGCAGTAGGTGCGGGGCGGGATGCGGGCTTTGTTAAGGAAGGTGCCGTGGGTGCTCCCCAGGTCGTAGAGGTAGAAGCCGGGCCCGTGGCCGTCCGAGGGCGCGTCGGGGCCGCCCCCGTGCTGCAGCACGGCGTGGAAGCGAGACACCGACGGGTGCTCCAGGCACAGGTTG